TTTCATACAATCAGTCCGGTGGTTAGACACGTTCAAGACGGCGGTCGAATTTTTACTACTCTCCGCGCACATTACAAAGTAGGGGGATCCATATCGTCAGTTGATACTTCTTCTGTTTTAATCCTTTTTTTGCGCTTTTTATGTGTCACCAGAAACTAAAATTCTTAATAAACCGTTTATACCCGACCTCTTTATTTATAAACCACGGGGGGGTGGATCGTTCGTTCCGTTCTAAAGACGCGACGAGTGTCTGGACATTTGAAGAAGGGAATATGTCTCGCGAGAGGACAGACGGGGTGAACAATTGACTCAATTACCAGGTGCGACAAACTTGACGGCAATAGTCATATTTGGACGTGCTGTCCGCGATAGTTCGTACGTATGGGTGAGGTTTGACGGTGAATTACCGGGTGTTCTGGTTTTTCTCCCCCGGAAAGTTTTCCCCTGTGGTTTTCTTTTTTTTCGGTTTTTTAAATTCTGACGTGGGTCCGACTCTTCTGGGGACTTAGGATGGGCGACTGTATATGTGCAAATGTAGGAGGGAACCAACCCAAGCAGAGATTTATAAATAAAACCCAACCAATGGGAAAGTCTGCGAGCAGACAAAGATGGCCAATTAGCAGCAGCATATAAAGTGCAATGGTGTACTCGATATTCACATCCAGATATAAATGGGTTTGTATGACATCAAAGGCAGACTGGAGGAAATCTAGACTTTGCTCTATAGAAGCGGAGGAACAATAAATAACAGTGTCATCTGCATAAAAATGGTAAGAAGCATTTGCTAAATTATTACATAGCTTATTTACATATATGGTAAATAGAATGGGTCCTAATATGGAACCTTGTGGCACACCCTTTGCTATCGGAAGGAAGGACCCTCCGCGTGAACGTGCAAACGGAGGGGTAGTGTGTAGGGGTAGGGTGTAGGGGGCGGTTTGGAATTGGGCCTTAACTTTGCATGCTGTATAACAGTCATACAGGACTTTCAGAGGATGCATGCCCTCACCCACAGAGTCCTGATCCCGCTGAATGGAGTTTGATCACATGGACTTCAGCACTGATCCCTCCTGATGGACCGTCACTGCAGCCCTGCACTTCCTGTGTCTGCAGGTCAGAGGTCACGTAGCTATTGGAGAGGAACACGGACTGCAGCTGGCACACAGCAGGGAGGCTGGGGTCTGTAACACAGAAACAAGATGAGAGGGAAGTAGGTGAAGCAAGATCTTTCTGCAATCCGTCCGACTTGAGTCTGATGTTATCAAAGTCAAAGTAAACTTTATTGTCAATCTTTCAGTTTGTGTGTACAGACAGAGAGATCGAAATACCGTTTCCCACAATCCCTTATGCAAAAACACAAATATATATAAAAATATGTATACAATATGTATATCCTATAAATACACAATCAATAGACACATTTATACATATGCACACATTAAGATAGAAACACAACAAAATAACAGTCACTTCAATATCTATTTATGTCTGGTAAAAGTGGAGATAAGAGTATCAACCAGTGCACAGAAGCTTGTGTTTAACAATAGTTTGAAATGTATGGGAATGCGTCTGTAGAGGGTTTGATAAAATAGACAAAGTTATAAAATTGTTCTAGACCTCATCAAATTCTTCACAAAGAAATATAAGAAACCTGTTTGTCAAACTATCTTCAATGTTTTTGGCAAGCAAATCTCCATTTTCCCTTTTAAATGCACAGGATTTGTTCTATAAATATGCATTAAACCTGAATAAAGACTGAGATTTTATGAGATTATATTTGGTTTGTTGGCGGCTCACCTTCTCCCAGTGGGACGTAGACTCGGTTTCCGTGAGTTGTGTGTGTGAAAGAGGACAGGTTTCCGTGGTGTTTCAGAGCCCAGCGGTGCAGAGCACGAGGATGAAAAGGCAGTGAATGCACCGTCTGGACATTTAAATGCAGCGAGCTGGTATGCACACTGGAGTTTGAAGATACCTAGAATACAAGCGCAAAGAAGTTGATAAAAAAGGTAAGTATTAAAATATATTTAAAGTGAGGATAAAGTGGTGCAAGGATAATTGTGTAGACTAACCCAGATGTTAGCATCTCAAGGGTTCTTGTTGAAAAGCCAATTTCCCATTGGATTTTGCAATATTGTAGAAAAATAAGCTCTGTGTATAATAAAACTACTTTTAACTGTTAAAGTCTAAAATCTGCATAAGTAAAAAGCTTGTTTGCGGTTTGCTACTTAGTGTTAACATTGTGAGACTCTTTTTTTTACACATTAAAAGCTTTTTTCATTCACCAGTGGGGTATTTACTGACGTATTTGATGTCGTAGAACAAAACTTGAAAAGCTAATGTTTGGCGTGATGGCGATTAATGGTCTCATTTGGCTACTCGTTAGCAACTGCCATTTTTCAGACATAAAAGCTTCAGGAATTGACCTTTCAGGGGTCAGCCGATATGTTGTAGAACAAAACGTTAAAATCTTTTTGACTTGTGTTAACCTCAGACCTTATTTCAGACTAACAACCAAAAACACACTTAAAAAAAAACACATTTACTTCTAGCCAAGGGACCAAAGAGTGCTAAAATACTGACTAATTTCTGGGTTCTGGGACTCATTCCTGCACCACTCTATAGGTAGTTGAGATTAAAAGGCATTGAGGATATGATGGACTGACCTGCACCAGTACAGGCAGGTTGGGGGGGAGTTTCTCGGCCTCCAGCCACCAGCTGACTGGTATCTTGGAGCTAAGCAGCAGGTGGATGTTTCTGAGAGGCGTCAGAGAAAAAGGCTTCAGCAACACCGTCACCTGCAGACAGACGAGGAAAGGCTGTGATGTGGAACAGGACGTGTTAGAAAAGTATCACTGGTCACCGGCTTGAGCTTCAATCTCAGGATCCATGTATTTGTGATCCTCTCCAGAATGGAAGTAGTCATCACATACAGAGCATCAACTAGTTCCTGAACAGTGTCCTTCATGCTGATATCCAAGAGAGGGAGTTACTCAGTCACAAGATGGAGGAATACTGGTTCTTGTAGGTAATCATACATTCTGTCATGTACAAAATATTGAGTTGTTTCTCAAAATGTTGGCTTTTTCTTCAAATCTAAAATGTCTGACTTTTTCTCAAAATTCTGACTTAATCTCAACCTTTGTTATCATGTGGACTCTGATATTGGAAGAGTACATTCAGTATTTTCCCAACAGTAATTATATTTAAAGTTATAATGGAGTTAGAAGGAAGGACAGTTGAACCAAAACTACCTTGTTTTCTGGGCTGTTTGTAACTCTCCCCACTGCGATGACATGAGTTTCTTTGTCTCCTCGTTCTCTGGCAGCGCAGCCCGGCCCGACATCGAACCGCTCCAGCCGACCCTGAACCGGGTGCAGCGCTCCCACCGGCCCCACCGAGCAGCGCACCTGCACACTTTGAGCTAAGGAACAGTAGAGGAGTGACTTTGGTGCAGGGATGACGTATTTGTGTAGGCTAGATTAAGGTTGGCATTGCCAGGGCTCCCTCGTCAAAACGTCATTGGGATTCTTCCATTGGATTGGACTATTGCTCAAATTAAATTATCTCTGTTGCGAACAAACATTTGTTATCCGTTTTGATCAGCCGGATAATCTCCATATTAGCACCACTTTGAGTCAGAATCAATCAGGTAATTGGTAACAGAACATTTTACCAGAAGTAGAAAGCTAATGTTGGGCTATAAATGAACTACAGCACGGTCACATGACTTCACTTTACCACCGCTAAGCTAAAGGCGACTAATGTTGGGCTATAAAGGAACTACAGCACGGTCACATGACTTCACGTCACCACCGCTAAGCTAAAGGCGGCTAATGTTGGGCTATAAAGGAACTACAGCACGGTCATATGACTTCACGTCACCACCGCTAAGCTAAAGGTGGCTAATGTTGGACTATAAAGGAACTAC